TTGGTTCAATGATTAAATGTGATGATGTTACGATATGACCCAAATCATTTTCAATGAGCAAAGTATAATAACCAGAATCCTCTGGTAGAGCCATATGAATGTGTAAAATTGTGATTATCTGTTGATTTAATTGTTGAGATTGATCATCATAATCCTTTTGTTGCCAACAATTAACTCGAGTTGAACAGATCAATGGAGAACCATTTTTAAACCAGTAAACTAATGGTTTAGGATTACCAGTTAACTTCACTTGGAATGTAACATCGGATCCTTCAAGAATAATACCATTTTTAAGTTTACTAATTAATTTAGGAGCCATTAAGGGTTGATGATTAACTGTGGATGATTTAAATTCATCATTGTCTTCATCGATATTCCCATGAAATGTATTCCAAGCTAACTTATTATCATCATTAATCGAGCCGATCAAAGCTTGACGAAATGAGGAATCGTTGATTAAACCATTTTCAAATTGGTCAACATTGAACATGCCCTAAGGGAAGATGAAGATGAAACAACAATTATCAACATTTTCTGTTGTCAATCAAAGACTTTAATACAAAAATACTTACATCTTTATTCATTAGGCTGATATTATTTGAATGTTGAGACATCATTTGAATTGTCGTTGTTGTTGATGTTGTTGCTCTTGTTGATGTTAATTGTTGCTCTTGATTATTTTTAAATATCATCTTTGATGATGATGATTGAGATGAGAAATGTTTCTCAATTTGATTTCGCTTCTCCATCGCATCAAAGTGAGTGTGAAGGTTACCTAATGTCTTGCAATTGAAGAAGATTGGAAAACGGAACAAGAAATAAAGTAAGATGATAATGATGATATTAGAAAGATGATTAAGATTAGAAAGAGTTAATAAGGTTGACAAAGAAGATGTTGAGTAGGAAGCTTTGAAGATGATGATGGTGAATAACGAATACCAGAGAGATGGAGAAAGAAACTTTGGTTATTAATAGTTAACGGTAAAAAAACTTTTCCACTAACCACAGAAAACGACGATAGGGAATCAGCCTAATAGGTTATTGGATCTTTTCCAGGGACATCGTCATCTTATTCACTCTCTCTTTCTCTTTCTCTCTCTCTCTTCAATCTTCTCTTTCTTATCATCTTAATCTTCCAAATACTAATAATGACACAAATTCAGTTTTCAATTTCGTTCGGTGTCTTGGATTACTGCCTTTCGACATGTGTATGTATGTACAATCTTCATCACCAACGCATAAAATACTTTCTATTTCTCATCTTTTCTCTAACTTATCATCCTTATCTTCAATGTTTACTTGCACTAATCAGCATCGTCAACATAACATTTTACTACGAGTACACTTTTCCACCTTATATACATATTGTAACCTCTAAAATATCAATTGGAAAGCAATTGCCACCATTGAATTTTGTTCAAGAAAATGTACACTTTTTGAATTATCTCTCAATCCCAAGCATCCTGTACATCTCTAAGCGTGTAAATCATTACAATTTGTTTACAGTTAATTTACTAAAAAAAACTCTCTAGTTATTTACACCAACACCTAAAATCAAATCTTCACCTCAAATAACATGAACATGGAATCGGGATAATAATAGTAATTGATTAAGATTTTTTTCTCCGAAGTAAAAAAAAAATCCCTTCTAATCAAAGGCTCTTTACTATTACTATTATTATTTACGATTCTTATTGTGATTCTGTAAGAGTTTTCATTCATATTTATTGACAATTACGCTTCAATAACTACAGTATAGTTAATGATTACTAGTGATCAATGTAATCACTTGAAAATGTTGATCTAATTTAACTATTAGTTTAAATTTACTGTTGTAACTTTTATGTGAATCAATAAATCATCAACATGATTATGATTACAAGTTGATTAGTGTTACAACTCATCAAGCTGAATGTTTATTTTTGTAAGAAATTTGTTTTAATTGTAAATTGATTTGATTTGGATTAGGTTTATGTTAATTGAAACATTGTATTAATATAACATGAATCAAATTGAACTAATTTTTATTTCCTTGCTATCAGATGATTAGTTGATCAGCAATCGTGAAACTAAATTAATATTTCATTATTATTGCCAAATTTGGTTAGTCAACCAATTTGCTGATCATTTCTATCATTAATGATTGTGATGATTACGATTCTTTTAACTGCTAAAAATATAAATTGTCTAAATTGATTGTAAAGGATTAGATTAACTTGTTGATCATTTCCTAAGAATAATAATAATTAACAGAGTAAATTAAATCTCAAGGATAATCAAAGCAACACTTTCAGTCTCAACAATAACTTAATCATTTATAATGGTAGACAATTAACACAAGGATTAGTTAATTTTCTTGGGATTGTTTCAATTATCTCGCAATCATATGGATTTCTAAGTTAGGATTAAGGAAGGATTAACTTTAATCTACCACATTTCTAAGTTAATGAGTAATTGTGATTTTTTCGCAAAAAAAATTGATGATCAATTGATTAGATTATCAAAATTTAACTATTGATTTCGATTCCACTCTTCCGACTTTTTATCACCGAAACTAATTCCTTGAAACCGACAATTATATTAGCAATCATTGGACAAGATTATTGTGATTGTCAATTTTGATTATCCTTCGGTAATCAGCTGATTTAAGACTAACAATTAAAATTATTTCGGTCACTTGGTTTACTTACAGTTAGATTTTCAAGATGAATTTAAATGAATCATTGTAATAGTTACAATTAGTATTTCAAATTGATTTCCTTTTTCATTGATAACTTTTTAATCACTTTGTCACAATGAACACTATTTGAATTAATATTAACTCAAATCACAATTTCAAATCTTATATATAAATTTGGATCACCTGAACATTAAACACCTTAGACTTGATTAATCAAGCGAGTTGATTTTGAAACCATTAACTTGGCACCACAATTAACCAAATCACAGAGGGAAGATTAAGGTGTAAACTTGTTGGGAGAAGCAGCAATTAAATTTGTAACAATTTAATAAGCAAGGTAAGGTTTAGACAGAGAATTTAATTGTTGTTGATTTAATGTAAAGTAAATCTATGTCACCGTTTTTACATGATAACTCCAGAGTCGTTTCTCTATTAATGATACATTAGGAACTAATTTAACTTTTAAGTTATTGTGATGATTAAGATTATGAGTAAACATCTCTCTCTCTCTCTCTCTCTCTCTCTCTTTCATCATCTCCATCCTCATCTTTATCTAAGATGCGCCATCGACTAATTATAGCAAATGCTTCCTTCCTCTTTGGTTTTTATCCAAGAATTTTTTTACAAATGAATTTTTTTTTCAAGGAAAAAGATGAGAAGGTGAAAATAGACACTAATCATCATCTTTATCATCCTCTTTCTTTTCCTCTGTCTGCAATTCTTTTGCCTCTCACTTTACTGAGCCTCCCCCTGAACCTAAATATCTTTCTGATTCAGTTGGTTTGAAATTTTCGGGTTAATTTGTTTATTTGTTTCTATCGTTATTTTGTATTAATAGAAATTCACTGATATTGGATAATAATCAGTTATGGTTAACAATTTTATAGTTTAACGAGCATAAGGTTAATTTGTCTTCGTTCTGACAGTTCTTGACATTACAATCAGTTCCAACGATTATCTTTGATTACAGTGGACATTTTTTTTAATAATCAAAGTATAGTTAATTACTCAGACGTTAATCATTAAAAGACACAATTTATGAATTACTGATTGGCAAGATTAACTTTTTGCTGATTTACAGTTTGAGTGTGATTAACATCAGATTATGTCAATCATGTTGATGTTGGCTGATAAAATAGATAATTTGACATATTAAAAAGCTAGAATATCTTATTAAGAATTCAAAATTCGACCTTAAGCCATTTTAACTGGAGTATCACCAGCGATTTCATCTCATTATTAACTAAACTAAACCAAAGCCTTTCTAACAACCGTATTCACAATATAAAAATTAAAGAACTCAAGTCCACATGCTGATGCACGATATGTTGGCATATTGAAACGAATCTTGAAAGAAAAAATTGTAAAAATTCATAGATCATTTCACTTGTCGCAATGGTAAATCGTTTTTTAAGTTTTATAAGGACATTTATTGGCATCTCTTTCGTCTACGACCATACCAAGCTGAAAGCACCGGATCCCGTCCGATCTCCGAAGTTAAGCAGCTTCGGGCCGGGTTAGTACTTGGGAGGGAGACCACTTGGGAACCCCCGGTGTTGTAGACACTTTTTGCTCTTTTACTTTTCATTTATTTGAAACTTTCAACCCTTTGATTGGATCGATTGTTTCATATTATTGATTTTCTTTTGTCAATCAAGAATATTAATCAATCTAATCAGAGATCATATTCAAAATGCCTTTCTTTTCAAGCTTTTCACTAATTTCTCATAAGAGAAATTATAAGTAAACTTTATTTCAATCGTATCGGCTTGTTATCGTCTTTAATGGTCGAAGTCAATTTAACGCTAATTGACATTGAAAATGTACGATACTGGTCTAGTATCTATCATGAAACTAAATATAAAACTAAATACAATCGAATATATAATCGAGCACAATTATCAACCGATCTCTTTCTCGAGGATTGAATGTCGTCACGAGTTTCAAAGAGCTTTGGACTCTTTCAATGATCGATTCTCGTCACAAATAACGATAAGAAAAATTCCCGATCTTCTTATGAGAGATTTGTATGAATTCATCAAACTTAAAGATCATGTAATCGTTTTAACTCAGGATTGGGTTCAGATGATCAAGAGCTTTGGTTGTTTTGCTAATTGAGAATACGGTGTTTCGGTAAGAAGTGTTAAGTGGGTACTACAGTGTACAGGGTGGTAAGAAAGTTCGTGTGAGGGGAAATGGGGTTAGAGATGCGCAGAGAAACATTTACATTTCGAAATTCGGTTCGACCCCCATCCCTTTCACACGAATTTTCTTACCACGGTGTAGTTAATCATTAAAGGAAAATGCTCAAAAAGCAAAAATATATTCATTAGCTTTGTATAACTGAAGCTTACTAACAATTACGTAGAAAGATGATTTTTTTTATTGTTTTTTACGTTCAAAATCAATATCTGATGAATGACTTAGAAATTTATTGACTCTTACAATTGATCTAATTCAAAATTATGGACAACAAGATCTCAATATAAATCGGATTGTGACCAGTGTATCGATTAATGTGAGACCAATGAATTGGAGGATCGGGGTTTTGTTGTCTTTTTTATTCACCTTACAATTAAAAAAATCAGAGGCTATTAATCAAACTTATTCCAATATTGTCAAAGGTCTGGAAATCGGCAACTGTGAACCAGGTTACTATGGTTTTCCCTATTGTACACTTTGTGCCTGTGATCCTGTTGGGTCGGTCAATCAAACCTGTGACTCGAATGGCTGGTGTACATGTGCACCTCGATTCAATGGACCAAAGTGTAATCATTGCAGTGCTGGTTATTACAATTTCCCTAAATGTGAAGCTTGTAATTGTGACCCCGCGGGTTCTTATGGTGTAACCTGTCAAAATGGTGTCTGTCAATGTCGAGATAACTTCGAGGGTATTAAGTGCGACAAGTGTAAGAAAAACTTTTACAATTTCCCGATTTGTGAAAGTTGCTCATGTAATCCCGCTGGAGTTGTTCCCAATTTCACCAGTTCACTTAATGGTCTAGATGCTTGTGATGGTGAATCAGGTCAATGTGCATACGAGGGACCGGAAACTGATGATATCCGTGAAAATGTGCTTATGGTTTTTATGCTTTTGCCGTTGGGAACAATTTCAGCTGTGTTCCATGTGACTGTGATCTTGGAGGCTCTCGGAGTGGTCCTTGTGACCCACGAACGGGTTTATGTCAGTGTAGATTCAGAATTACAGGTATACGATGTGACCGTCCACAAAAAGCTCACTATTATCACACAACTTACCAGTATCTTTATGAACTCGAAGATGGTCATAACGTTCATTATGATTATAATGAGACCGTTTTTCCAGGTTTCTCTTGGAAAGGTTATGCCAAATTCTCTGACCTCCAGAAAAAGGTGATAATCGATTTTCCCATTGGTCGATCATCATTCTATCAGGTTATTCTCAACTATCATAATCCAGGAACAGAACCAATTGTTGGTAATCTAACACTTTTCAATAAAAACGAGCCACCGAAACATATCAATATCACTTTTCCCCCGACGAGTGCACCTAAAAAATACTTGTTATCGATGGATAAAACTTCACCTCTATATCTTTTCGCGGCTCAAAGGCCTTGGAAAGCATCTTTGTCCGCCGACGAGCCACTTTTAGTCGATTACATTGTTTTCTTACCTCAAGCTTACTTCGAGGCCAGTATACTTAGAGAAAATGTGACTGACACTGATCACTCGTTCACTGGTCCACCAGTTGCATTCAACTTTTCAACACATTTGGAACTTCCTATTGTCGACAAGGCAACTGCATTCTTGAAACATTGTGTTCAAGATGCATTTTATATTGACGATTCTTCACCTGAATTCTGTAAACAAGCTCTTTTCACCTTGACGACTGGTCTCAACAACGGTGGTGCTTTTTGTAGCTGTAATGCCGAAGGTTCAAAGGGATACACATGTAATCCACTTGGAGGTCAATGTGACTGTAAACCAAATGTCATTGGACGGACATGTAATGCTTGTCGATCAGATTATTATGCTTTCCCTGATTGTATACCTTGTAACTGTCCCAAAACCGCCGCTTATTGTGACCCAGTTTCTGGTGAATGTGTTTGTGCTAAAAATGTCGTCGGAAGTGATTGTGCCAAATGCGCACCATTAACTTACGGTATTGATCCCAAAATGGGCTGTAAACCTTGTTACTGTCACCCTGCAGGCGTCAAAGATCGTAATATTCATTGTGACCCTCAATTTGGTACCTGTGATTGTAAAGAAAAGTACGATGGTCGAACCTGTGATTCATGTAAAGCGGGATACTTTGACTTTCCTGTTTGTCGTGTTTGCGATTGTCCCTTTGATGGTACAACGGATATTTGTGATCGTAAATCGGGAACCTGTTATTGTAAAGAAAATGTCCTTCGTCCTAATTGTGATGTTTGTCAACGTGGTACCTACAATTTGGAGAAAAATAATCCCAAAGGTTGTACAAAGTGTTTCTGTTTTGGTACAACAGAAAATTGTCGAAGTTCCGAATTTAAAAGTGTTCCAATTAGAGCAACCAATTACACCAATTGGTCAACCGTTAACATCGATTTCACTGAGTCAGGTGAACGAATCAGTTTCTTGGAAATTGAATCAGGACCAAATGAAAGTGAATATAAGATAAATCCAAGATTATTTAGTCGCGGTGACACGTCCGATGTACTACCGAAAGCCGATACTCTGAGTAACATTTACTTTAAGGTGCCCAATGAATTCCTTGGTAATCGTTTGACATCTTATGGTGGATTCATAAATTATACGATTCTTGAAACTTCAAGCTCGAATGCCGAAGATACTGTAATTACACCCGATATAATTTTGATTGGACGAAACTACTCAATCGCACTTACTCGTGATGAACAACCTGGAGCACCAGGAATTAGTTTAAAGATGGAAATTGAACTTCTTGAGAGTAAATTTGTTCACCTTACCGATTCAACCTTAGTTTCTCGACCACAATTTATGACCTTACTTCTTGATTTACAATCGATTTACATTCGAGCGGCTTATTTCAAATCAATGGATTCTGTTACTTTAACCGATTTCACGATTGACTCAGCGCTTGATTTACCAAATATTAACGGATCTTTGGCTTCTCGAGTTGAACAGTGCATCTGTCCTCCCAATTACAAGGGAAGCTCTTGCGAGGAATGTGTCAGTGGCTATTATCGAGTTGCAAATGGACCTTATTTGGGCTCATGTGCTCCTTGTCAATGCAATGGTCACTCAAACGAATGTGATCCTCTAACGGGAAAATGTTTCAACTGTAAACACGAAACGGTCGGTGATCATTGTGAACTGTGCAAATCAGGATTTTACGGTAACGCTACTGTTGGTACACCTCACGATTGTCTCATGTGTCCTTGTCCAATGCCAAACAATTTCGCTGAATCTTGTGAGGTTCGGCAAAATGCTCGAATACAAACAGAAATTGTTTGTAACTGTAAACCAGGTTACAGTGGTCAAAAATGTGAATTATGTTCAGCAGGTCACTTTGGTTATCCTCGTGGAAGTTATTGTCAACCTTGTCAATGTAACGGCAACATCGATCCAAAGGATCCTGGTTCATGTGATATGTTCAGTGGTGAATGTATCAAATGTCTTAATAATACTGCCGGTCGATCGTGTGAATATTGTGCTGATAATTATTATGGTGATGCGATTAACCTTAAAAACTGTAAACCTTGTCAATGTGATCCTGATAATACTACAGCTGTTTGTGACCGTTATTCTGGACAATGTAAATGTCACCCAAATTTTATCGGTCATCAATGTGAATATTGTTCAGCTGGATTCTATAACTATCCCCAGTGTCAATCGTGTGATTGTAATCCCCTTGGAATCACTGATGACATTTGTAACCCCGAAAATGGTCAATGTAAATGTAAAACTGGAGTCGAAGGCGATCGATGTGACAAATGTAAACTGGGTTACTATTGTAGTGTAGAGAGTTAACCCTTCACTTCACTTATCAATTTTATTCATTTAAATTTAACTTTAGTTAATTAATCATTTTCATTTAATCAAAAATTAACTAATTACAATTAACAAACATTACAACTTTAATTAAACTTAACTAATCATTTTCTTTAGAAAAACAAATTAACTCATCTTTGATCTCTGACTTAATTGTCTGTTATCAATTAACAAGATTTACCAACGGATAAAAAAATATTCAATTGAATGGATTAAGTATAAATACAAATCTAATCAACAAATGTATCTTCAGTCTATTAATAGTTAACACTTTCAATCTAGATTCGTTTTCTCACTTAAGTGAATTTTATTCTGTGTTCTTATTAGAATTTCATTCTAATCATTGATATTTTCATTTTCTTCTATTTTAATAAAGTCTTATTCAACCAAGTTTATATCTTAAGACAATTGAAGTGAATTCTGTATACGAACTGTTATTACTTGTAAGTGTGAAGGGCAGGTAAGCATCTTGTGAAAGATCAGCGTAACTGTTGTTACTTTCTAACTAAAAATTACCATTAAGTTATTCTTATCTGGTTTTTGTCTCTATTGATATTGATTATCATCTCTAAAGAGAAGCCAGAATTAAAATTAAATTGATACTTTCAACAGTTGTGACTCTGTTTCAATTGATAGTTGAAAAGGTGATATTAACAAAGTAATAGTGACTTATGTCTTAACTTTACTTATTACTTGACAAAATCCCTTCACTATGGTTTTCCCTACTCTTTGTGCCTGTGATCCTGTTGGGTCGGTCAATCAAACCTGTGACTCGACTGGTCGGTGTACATATGCACCTCGATTCAATGGACCAAAGTGTAATCATTGCAGTGCTGGTTATTACAATTTCCCTAAATGTGAAGCTTGAAAATGTCCTGAAACCGCTCTCTATTGAGAACCAGTTACTGGTGAATGTGTGAATGGTAAAGATCACCCGGTGATCCTTTTAACAAGCAAAAGCAAGCCTTTTTCAAAAGCATGAAATGTTCAGATGGAAAGATTTTTCATCAATTAACAATAATAAGTAAAATATGATTAACAATTGTAAAGATTTTTTCTTATCCATCTAATATTTATCACTTTGTTTCTTTTTCTATTGATTGTGTTGTTTTTGACAAGGGACCTTAACATCAGATTATGGCAATCATGTTGGCTGATAAAACATAATTTGACATATTAAAAGCTAGAATAACTTATTATAAGAATTCAACAATCGACCTTAAGCCATTTTAACTGGAGTGTCACCAGAGTCTCTGGTCCAGAGATTTCATTTCATTATTAGCTAAACTAAACTAACCCAGTCAACCATTAACTTGTTTCATGAAAAGGCGCAAGTGCTCGTGAAATAAACTAAATTTTCAAGCGACAATTTCTGTGCACTTGAAGGCATGATCATGAAAACTTGTTCTCGCTTAGTAAAAATTCACTATTCGAGTTGATTTTTTAAATTTTTTTCGCGATTGAATTTGATGTTCGCGCTAATCTCTTTAAACGTGAATCGCGCGTAATTACAAGACGACCCCTCTTGACAATTTGTTCGATTGTGTTTAATTTGTTCTTCAAGAAGAACGTTTTAAAAGCTTCAATTGCTACCGGTTTTATTCAAATTTTTATTCGTTTTTTTTGTGACAAGAATTTTTTTTTCTTTAATTACTCACTTGATCATCAAGAATCGAGTTACTTGAGGTAAGTTAACTTGTTGGCTCTTGAAACATGTACCATGATAACTAATTAATTTTTTTGTCTCATCTATCTAGATAATCATGACATCATTAAAACGCTTACATGAAAGCGTGTCATTTGACTTTTCATGTACACGATGTAAAAGTGTTTTAAATGAAAGCATATTTATGCATTCATGTGCCAATTTGATGTGTTCGAGCTGTCATGACCATGGACATGAAAAGTGTATCGATTGTGAATTACCACTCAAGCCAGAAGATTTCATCAAGTTGAAAATTGGCCAACGATGTAAATATCATGACCAAGGGTGTGAATATCCTGCTCAATTCGTGTGCCAATGTATTCCTAATGGTCATGTATGTGGTGATCATCTACACATGCTACATTCTCATAGGATCGAGACACCATGTATCGCTAAGCCGATAACACTGGATCGTGATTTTCAAGCTACATGTGATCAATGTAAATCGTTTCTTGCATCTTTCAAAGTCAAGGATCAAGACAAAAAAGTTTGCTTTGAGTGCAGAAACGTTTATCCTGACGCCGAAAAGATAGAACATGATTCATGTAATTGGGACTCGATCATGAACACAGCATATCTCACGAAACGTATTTTAATTTGCAAAGTCAAGAAACTCGAGCTTTTGATCACAAAAAGTGAATTACTCCAACAAGAAGAATCCAAGAAAGAAGCTATTGAGTTTATTCTAGCTAAATGGAAACATGTAAAATCACAGACATTATGAAAGAGAAAGCTTGGTCAAGCTTTTAAACTTCAATAAAAGGTAAGCTTGTTACATGAAAGCATTTATCATGATTTATTGTTACCATATTTATTTTCTTTTCAGCTTTGTGAAAAATTTGAAGCTCCAACCAATAATTATATCTCGATATTGGATTGGATCAAAAAAGGTTTTATCCATGTGAATACCATGAATCAAGTTTCAGGTCTCATGAATAATTATCGTGACAGCATTCCTTCTTATCCAGCTTTGAGAAGTAGATTCACGTTCACAGAACAAGGAAACTCGTTTCTTGTCGGAGAAATAGGAACGTATTTTGAACCAGAATCGCAATCAACTCCACTTAAAGCCGGTAACACTGACAAGACCATCAGCTCTGAAAGTCAACCCAAGACTCCTGTTCAACTTAACACAAGTAATCATGAACCACAAGAACCTACACCATCAACATCCAAGAACACGGAGAGAAGACCTGTACGCGCTTTATTCATTCAGTCAACCACAGTTGCAGCTGATGATTCAATATCTACTGATATTTACCAAGATCGTGTTCCATGGCCGATAGCAGAACAAATGATCGATGTAAGAGACGATGTTTTTCATGGTGTTCAAGTAACTCGAATCTTTGATCCTTTTTATATCATGATGGAAGCACCGGAACTAGTACAAGATAGACTCACGATGCTACAATATATCAAGGAACATGAACATGAATGGGTAAAAGCTGAGAACTACAGGTGCGGAGATAATGTTATCGTTCATGATCAATACGAATCAAGAACTGTTTGTAAACGCGGATCGGTCAGGTTCATCAATACTGAAACAAATACTGTTAGAATTTATCTTCAAGACTATGGATTTGATATCGCGAAGTCCCCAGCTGAAATTGGTCAAATACCATCATTCAAGCCAACTGTTAATGCAACATGTTTCAAGGCCAAGCTCATGGATATCAAGCCATTGTCCAATTTTCTTTTCCCGACTGGAATTCGGAAATGTTCAAAGTTATTCTTGAATAACATGATCAAGAAACATGGCTCAAGAGTATTTGTTCAACGAAGTTACATGTACGCCGATGAAACTTTTGTACGTATCAAGTCAAAGATAGATGGAAAGGAGATAGACTGGGGCCAGGCTTTAATCGAAAATGGTATGGCTCTACCTCATAAGGAAAATTTCAGTTGTTTTGTTCCGACTAGAAACTTTTGTTGGCTTTGGCACGATCAAAAAAAATGCAAGCTCGGTTGCTGGAGAATTCATGATTGCCCTTATTGTACAGAGGATCATTCACTTCAAGATTGTAAAAAGTTTCATGAAGCTCTTGATAAAAATTGAATATCATGAAGCTTGATACACGTAATCAAAATTTCATATCATGATAATCCATCTGTACAAGCGTGTACATGATAAAAATGTTACTCTTTTTTTCAACTTTTTTACAATTCAAAATTTTGACGATTTAGATCACAACATGTTCATCAATAAATACATTCATTCATTCAAATATCATTTATCATTCGTTTATTTTCATGATCTCTTTACAAAGTTTTCAATGTAGGAATCATTAACATGTACTTATCATGTAACTGGAAAGTCATGATTTTACTTGTAATCTGATTTATTCTGAAAAAACAATCCGTTTTATCAACTCTTGTGATTGTTCGTATTGTTTTAACGTTACATTTAATTGTAGTTGTCTGATGGTTTGCACTTATCTCGAGAGAATCACTTTCACAAATTAGTTCAAAACATCTAGACAATATCATGTTATCATGAACTTGAATTAGCTCTGATATCAAATAAAATCTATCGTCAACCATGATACATGAATTCTGTGTTTTCATGTTCAAGTCGTTGTGAGTGGTTGTATAAAGTTTATTATTGTACTTAACCTTCTTATAACTCGTATATTCTGTGAGATCACCATCGATTCCATGTATTTCGAGATAGTTAAGTAAGTTGTAATCCATTATTCTTGATTCTGCTCCATGTACAATTAGTTTCTTTGAATGATCCAAACCAAAGAATATTTTTTCATGCTCATGAAGATCAACCAAATTCTCAAGATCTAGCTTGCAAGCTAATTTTATCGAGAAGAGGTTCATGATATTCTGAGCCGTATTTGAAAAACTTTTTACACGTTTCTTTATATTGCCCATTTCATTTTCCGACATGAAAGCAGAAATGGAGCAAGCTGGACCTAAACAACGTACTGAATCAATTAAATGTAATAAAATATGGCTATTGTAAGTACAAAATTCAAGTCCATATAACGCGTCAATCAGCTTCACGAATTTTGATAGTATCTCATGTGCTTGATCGAGTTCATGAAGAGAAACTGGTATGGTTTGAACAATCAATATTGCTTGAGCGAGTAGACCAAAATGTGCAAGATATTTAGTAGGTAGAATATTCATGAGAACCGGATAAAAATAATAAGCCATAAATGAACCATACTCATTTCCTTTCCAATCGCTCAGTTCAGCAAATGATCTTGGTAATCGTGGATGATCCGCATGAACCTTGATGTTTTGAAATCTTTTGTTCAAGTTTTTCATGTCTCTCGCTGACCCAATATAAAATCCTTTCCCACGATAATCGTTATTTAGCCATGCTCTTGTTATCAAGTCCTTCACCACTCCAAGATAGACTGCATGAAGTATATCAACAGAAAATCCATTTATGGAATCAAATGAATCAAGATCATGTAAGATACTATGAGATTTGATGGATTGGCTAACACTTTCCGCCACATTATTTCCTAAAGAAAAATCAATAAATTCTTGTTTATTTCTTTTGAGTGTTACCAGAATATTATCTTGTATGTGTCGATAACGCATAGAGCCCTTGTAATATACTCCTTCAACTTTGCACCAGTCACATCCAAATCTAGAATTATGTTGCTTGACTGATCTTAAGTATGCACGCATCGGAGCATCTGCGATGATACAAGTCAACTTGAACTTTTTCTTGATGATGATATTAGACTCGTTACATGTCCAAGTTATTCCAGAAGTTTCAAGAACTTTGAAATCATCGATAAACGGTCTTAAAAATGATATCGAGAATTCTGGTTTTTTCTTGCCATAGAATACTCCACATAGAAAAATATTTTGCTTTCGTACATGTTCAGGCAACTCGTTAAGTGTCAAGAATATCGGAAAAGCGTTGAGATGACTTGATTTAGATGTTGGCACTTCGTCGGTAAATAATGTGAATGTATAAGATTCAGTATCAACACGAGCTTGTCTTGATAAACTTCCATCTTGTATACTTTCAAGAATTTCTGTATGATTATTTACTTGAACATGATGATGAAGCTTAGGCATAACGAGTTCAAGTAACTTTATAATAGATATTTTGATGAAATATGAACCAGTCGTTAAAGATGGATGAAACAACCCACCGTCGCAAGAAACAGGCAAAAAGTTTCTCGGTTCATTGTAATAAGAACCATGTACATGTTTTTTGTCACAGATAAAACAATACTCCTTAATCAGGAAGTTAGATTTTCATTCCAGAATCCTCGCAAATTTCGGATTTTTTTCTTGGATCAATTCTTCCAAATAAATATTTATCATGTTAACAACATCATTAGCTTGAGATTTGGTTAATCCACTTTTCCAAATAAGATGACCTAGTAAACATTCACTTAACTTACTTAGATTAATCTCTGATTCATGAAACGTTGAACCAGATGAAGAAATTGAATCTAAGAGTTGACTTGGTCCTTGTTCTTGATGTGGTTCATGGGAATCTACGTGTTCATGAAATGAATGTGAAGATACTTCATCCAATGTTTCACGAAGCACTGAAATAAAATCGTTTCTCGAATTCACAAGAGATCGTTGATACGTTGATGAAGAAACTTGATTCATGCTGATATGATAGCTATTTTTACAAAAATTTAGGTTTAAATTGCTTGTTTACTTGACAATCTAATCTTGTTTCCTGTTATCAATTTCCTTTTCCCACCAAAACTGGTTAACAACACATGTAAATCACGTTTCTATTACTTAATTCTTGTGTGTTGTTTATGTATCATCTAATAAAAAGTGACCTTTCAAGCTTATCTCGTGATAGTTTTATGCTTTCAAGTTCAGTTAAAAGACCAAAAAACTACCGTAACGTTGTTCCAGCTTGGCAAAAAACGTTGGTTGAATTCTTGAACATGAAAGGAGTAAAAACAACCGTGGAAAAAACTACTAGGAAGAATTCAAGAAAGCCCGTTGCCATAAAAAAGAAAAAGGGTAAATCGTTACAACTAATAGATCTTGTAGACTCGCTTCCTGATACTTGTGAAAGTTACAATATTTTCGTTCTTGTGATTTCTGTGAATGCAATTGACGATGGCTTGATTCCATGTATCATCATTGTAGACAAAGAGAAAATTCAATCAATTATGAACGTAAACACAAATGGATTTATCAAGTTCGAGATCAGCGAGAAAAAGTTTTCTGGTAAAGTAGCTGCTATTTCAGGTTAGTTTTGAAACAACCATTCAAATTCATTATTCATGGAAATTCTATCTTTCTAGCATCTAGAACTCAACTTGAAAAGGTGTTAACTGAGTTTATTTCAAAACGTGAAAAGTTGATTGATGTAACATTGATTGAGCAAGATAAATTGATATACTCATGTACCTCGGTGATACCTATCGAACAAGCATTAGAATCAGAGATTCTAGTAATAGCTCTTCAACATCTCTTGAAAGAAAACGAAAACCTTAATCAAGATCTTGGAGACATCGACCAAACGTTGATAGAGCAACAAGAAGAGATGGGAAACACAACGAGAATTTATCATGATAACGGAGAAGCTACTTCATCAAGAACCGAAGAATTCTACGAGGTTGACACTTTAGTCGATCCATGTACAAGTAACAATGATGATACAGGTTTTCTTGATGGTAACCCGATCGTGACCGAGCATCAAACAGATGGAAAAGAGAGAATGAAAACCAGGAAATCTAGAATCAAGAAATACTTTGCTGATAATAAGCTTATGGCTAGAATCAAGAATGCTGCTATAGCGAAGAAAAAACAGAAAGACGATAATCTTAAAACATCGTTAAGTTTCCTTAAGCAAATGATTCCAACAATGAGATCAACAAAGCCTTATAAGCCCGTATTCGAGCACATGTTACAGGCCATCATGAACCTTGATAGTAAAATTGACGCAAATGAGAAAACAAAATCGAGAAATGCTGGTTATACGATTGAAAAGAAAATTGAGGTTAAGAAACTCAAAGATAAGGTACAAGATAAACAACTCTCATGTATGACTTGAATATTCATCCATGATCATGTTCTCTTTTTCAGGATATCGTTTCGATAGATGGAAAGATTGAGGTACCTTTATCCAGTTATGGTTATTGTATTCAAGCCGACACCCCTCATCTCATTGTATCAAGATTCTTTAGAAAATGTATATCTCGAGAATTGAAACAAGGAAGCGAGCTAAGTGATTCATTATCACTAGATAACTTTATTTATAAAATTGGATCTGAAACCTTGACTGGTAAAGAGAGACTCGATGATGGGCAGCAAATCATTGATACAATAATAAGTAAGGCAAATGTAAATTCATCTTTCACAAACTAATCATGGATCTATTTCCATTTCTTCAAGATCATGCTCATCAAGTACTTGAACAAGAATATGTCAACTTCAAGGAGTATCGAGAATGTGTTACGCAAATAGCAAAAGCAATTTATGACACGAATCGTGAAGACAGGAAAAGGCCAAGCTATAACGAAATGGAGCCAACGATTAACAAAAGGAAAAAAATTTCACTTGAATTAAGTGATGATGAAACCATTTTGGGTGAAAATGATCATGAGCTTGAATCACAACATGAAAGCACAAATCATGAGGAAAATATTCAAGAAAAAGTTTGGATATATCTAAATTAACATGAATACAAGGTCAAGCTCATGTTGATTGATGAAAATTTATAAATTTCTCACTAATTTCCACTAATTTTTTTCACTAATTTTTCGCTAACAAATTACTCTATTCGATTTATTAAATTAAAAATTATTTATGCATGAAAAAATTCTTTTGCGTTTGATTCGTAGCATAAATTCAAGACAAATATCGCGCAGAATGCATGAAGCAATTTCATTTAGCCAAAAAATTTGTAAGCGAAAAGTGCGCTTAATATTTATTTCTAGTTGGCGTTTACTTAACTAGATTCAAGTTTCTCGCTTACAGAGACAAAAAAGTTTGATGCTCGCAAAAACGCAGCAAGTAAATGGTTGACTAAAGCCTCTTTAACAACCGTATTGACTGATTATTCACAATTTAAAAATTAAAGAACTCAAGTCCTCATGCTGATGCATACTGATGAACGATATGTTGGCCAATTGAAACGAATCTTGAAAGAAAAAATTTTTAAAAATTCATAGATCATTGCACGTGTCGCAATGGTAAATCGTTTTTTAGTTTATAAAGACATTTATTGGCTTCTTTTTCGTCTACGACCATACCAAGCTGAAAGCACCGGATCCCGTCCGATCTCCGAAGTTAAGCAGCTTCGGGCCGGGTTAGTACTTGGGAGGGAGACCACTTGGGAACCCCCGGTGTTGTAGACACTTTTTGCTCTTTTACTTTAGATGTCCTCTTTTCGATTGTAACACTTTGATTCAGTTAGATGAATAAGTTTTCGAATTTGCAATTTCTTTTAATTTATTATCATCGTAAAAAAAGACATGGGAAATTTTAGCAATTGTATAAAATTAAAATGATGCACCAAGATAATAAGGTTTAATTGTTAGACATAGTTGAGAATTGAATGAAACTTATTAATCAATTGAAGCTCGAGTATATATTTAGATGAGATTTATCATTGTTTAAAAGTCTTGAGAGTCCAGTAATACATGTATAAGCTGTTTTGACAGTCTCAGCTGTTTAAGATAATTAAGTGACAATTTTTGAATGAAGTTGATTAACTTGTTGATCTTGATTGTAACAATTTGCTTTTGAAAACGAATGTCTTCCAGCGGTAGTTGTGTTCAAAAGGAAACTTTTAAGTGTTGAATTTAATGCTGATGTTATACTGGTTCGTTTTGGCTCATAGATACTATTGACATCCAAATTAGAGCCAATATTTGGAATGATTTCCGCTTCCTTATGGTGATGATACTTCTTGTGATGCCGATCAAAAGATGAGAATGAAAAAATGTGAGGAAGTGAACATCGTTTACGATTTATTTCAGCAAGGTTAGGCCTCTCTTCCTGGAAGATAAGTTGACTAGGGTAGATTTTCAATTTAATAAGATCAGATTTAACCTTGGAATCCTTGAAGAGAAAACAAAAAGAAGGAGAGAAAAAGATAATGATGAAGATGAAGATGAAGACGAAGTCGAAAAAGTAACAAATAGATAAGCAGGGAAATTATAAAGAGTGACCTTGGCGATTTGAAGGTCGCCAAGTAAATGGACGTTACTAAACTCGTGAAAATCAACTATATAAACGATGTAGATTAAATTCTATCAGAAACAATTATGATTATTGCATCAACTTTAATGATACAGGTTGATGCTGACATTGAACTCGAATATAAAACAACAAGGAATCAACGAAGATGAAAAAAAATCTCATTGGTAAAATTCATAGTAATTACTATTATCATCTTAACTATCATGAGATTAGCAATTGGATAACCTTGTTTTTTTTAATTTCTTCTTTTTCTGTTCATTGATTTAATTCATAATTTTTTTGCTTCTTCTCGTATCATTATTATTATTATTACATGAGCTCTGAGAGTTTAGTTGAGTTGATATACAACAATTAGTAAATTGTTTACTTACATCAAACCATAAATGACTTAATGCCTTTTCCACGGTCAACCTTTTCCTCGGTTTAACCTGAAGCAGGTTTTCAATGAGATCTTTGGCCTGGAAACTAATTGAATCCCAAGGATCGGGTGGGTAAAGAAACGATGAGGTTGATTGATGGTGATGATGATAAGGATTATTATTATTATTATTATTATGGTGATGGTCAGTCATCATTTCACTTTCCTCACTGAAAGGAAAAGTTCCCGATAGGCTCACATAGATTATAACACCGAGTGACCACATGTCCAGTGATCGATTATAAGATTTGTTCCTTAAAACCTCCGGTGCTAAATAGGCCGGTGTACCGACGATACTTCGTAGGAATGATTTTTCACCAATGATTCGAGCGAAACCAAAATCGCACAATTTAACCTGCCCAATTAATTATCGAATCAAAATGAAGAAAATTATGTTTATCATAATATCAACTTAAAGCTACTAATGATTTGGATTGTAAACAGAAATTGAACCTTACTGGTCAATATTCAATGATCATACTGTTGATCATTTCAACTGATTCAATTTCTTCATCAGTGATTAATTTGATTCTTCAAATTTTCAAGGGCAATTTGTACTTACATGAGGATATTCATCGTCTGAGGAGAGAAGCACATTTTCCGGTTTCAAGTCACAATGGACGATGTTCCTTGAGTGAAGGTACTTCAAGGCGATCAGTATCTGGTTTAGAATGATAATCAAAACGAATTAGAATTTGAAGAAAAAAAAAAGAAAACAAATTAACATGATTAGAGTTTGGATGATGATTAAGGAAGGATAATCACATTAATCCATTCATCATTATCACCACTGGTAATCAAGTTAATCATTTGGTGTTGAATTAACATTTAATTTAATTTACAAAACAAATTGTGGTTCATTGTATTTTCTTTATGCTTGTACCTTGAATAAAAATTAATTGTTACAATCAAAAATCACGATCAACTTGTTTGTCCATTTGCAAATGGTTTTCTTGGTTAATTTTAATTGCTGGAGTTTTATTTTTCTTACTGATTAACTTTAACTTGATTACTAGAAATGCTCATGGTCAGTTAATATTATTACAATTGCTTGTAAATAAACAATTTGATTGTGTAAAAAAGTTTCACAATCAACAGGTTATTTTGATTGTTACTGATAATTAATTGTGATCAACAATTTGCTGGAATATTTATTTTTAAATATTTTCCACCAATTAACCTAATAAACAATTAACTGTTGAAATTGTTTCTCAAATAAATTAGCAAAACTAATTGTTAACAATATTGTTTAAAAGGGTTAGATCAAAAATCTCATTAATCATCATTTAAATTGATTACAATTTAATATTATTCAAGGATTCGTATCGATCATTTGATTTTATTATTATGATGATTAAAGAGCAATTATAATCCACTAATTTTCTTGTTAATCAATTTAAACGAGACAATTTATTGATCATCGTCTTGATTACTATTTAAATCATTAACCTGATGTTTGTTTGTTTATTTGTTGATTGTCAGACATATTGAGTAACCTTGATTTAAATTGTTACTTGTTAATTTTGAAATACATACGACAACCATTGATGATTAATTTAAATTAGCAATCAAATGAGATGATTAGATTGCAATTTAACACTCAAACTGTTTGTATCTACCGTTCCTTGAAAAATCAAACAATTAACCTTCAACAATTTAACAAAAAAAAATACAATCAATGATGATCAAGATTCATTAAAACATCAAAACTGTCAATCCAATTGAATTAGCAAATATTTCTTAGCAATTGAAAATCCTTAAGTTCATCCGATTACCACAATTAGCCAATTTAAAGGGATTTGTAATCAATACATTTAAATCAACCTTTGATTGTTGATTCATCACCAAGTAGCCCGAGGGCAATTAGCTACCATTTTATAAGCTTGACCATAAAGTAAACACTTTCACGAGCACTTCTCTCTAGTCCTGACTGGACAACGGCCGATTGAAAAATGGACACTAGGCCAACAATTAATCTCAATCAGAGCAAATTGTTAATTAATCGCTGATTGAATAGATTACGAAATCACCTCAACAGGTAAGGAATTGATTCTTATACCTGAACGTTTCATGATTAAGTCACAATTAGTTTGATTTGATTTGAGAAACAAAATCTATGTTTGAATCGTACATGGTTTTTATTAAATTCAACAATTAACTATCAATAACATTGATTAATAAGTTAAACTAAATTTTAATATCCTCAATTTTCAATCAATATATTCAGTTAATCAATAACAATGAATATAATTAAAGTCACAAAGGATTAAGATCATTATCTGGATTAGTTAATGATATTTGTAATAATCGTTGATCTTATCGAGTGAAAAATTGTTAATGGAAACTTAATGTTAACGGTAAATAATTAAAGTTAATTGTAGATACTATTTTCCGGTTATCATTGATTGTGATCATTTTCTGAATGTGATTTTAATTAGCGACAATTTAACTAACCAAACTTATTGATTCGTATCAGAAAAAAAAACTTATTGGAGATAATATAATAACCTTCAATTATTAATAAATGTATATACACAATTAAATGTTAATCATTGGACCTTAATTATAATTGTTAACAGCTTAAATTATGAACAATTATCGTTGTTGTTTAAGTATATTGATTAACAATTATATAAAGATAATCAAAAGTGACAATGAACAGTGGGTACCTTAAGTTACCATTGTCACTTAATCATTTCCTGATTCCAATGTCAATTAATAGTGATCAAAATTAATGATTAATACCTTTTTCCAATCAAATAATTTATAGTTGATTAACTTAAACAAGCGATTGATTAACGATCATTTTTGAACAATTTAAACAGTAAAACAATCAAAGCGATTCATCAACAATTTAGATACAATAACCTTGTATGATTATGATTATTGGGTTAATCATTGGTTAATTGTTGAAAAGTAAAATATGATAATCAATTTTGATTTATCTAATTTAGTAAGACAATGTAACCTTTCAGTTGATTGTATTGGTTAAGGAAAATAAAATTAAATTGTTATTTATGTAATCGTCAATTTTTGTCAACCTAATTTTCAATTAAATTAAAATAAAAAGGTAAACAATTTAATTGATTGGCAAGAGGAAAATGAAAATATTATTATTAAATTAGTTGATTAGGATTTGATTTAGGAGAAAATTTCAATTGTTTCATTTGATTTGACGATGAATTGATTAACTTGATTAAAATTAAATCGAAAGGGATAAAGGAGGTTAATTGTTTGACTTTCTTTTGTAATTAGTTAATTGTTACCTGATAGACAAGAAATTTGGTCTTCTTTTCGGAAAGTCTTCTTGTATCTGATGATAGAATCATTCCCAACATGTCACCTTGAAGTTTCTCCATGACAACGAAAATCCTCTCAGGCGTTTCGAACATTTTTTCGAGATTAACTATTCCCGGATGTTTAATCGATTGTAATATAGACACTTCGTTTTTTAATTGTTCTTCTTGCTTTCGTGGGAATCGAGTTTTATCAATCACCTTGATTGCTATTTCACGGCCAGATTTACGATGGACACCACCATAGACTGTCCCATACTGACCTGAGCCCAATATTTCATCGGGGAAAATTTGATATTGAAGACTAAGATCATCGGTATTTGTTGACTTATTGTTGGGGTCATTTGGTGTCGACAAGTTAATTGTTACCGCTTCTTTTACCACGTGTTGAAATTCACCGTTCATCAAGGCTTCTCGAAGTGCCGATTCCCAAGAAGATGAACTATCATCAGGTTGACCACAGAAAAGGTCAAAATTTGAAGTTCGAAGTTCAAAACAGTGATCTTCAGTATTAGAACAAGGGATGATTGCGATTATCTCTGATAACGGGATCTCTCGATAATATTTAACCGAGTGATCATTTAGAAACATCGTCAATGATTTCGGTGTTAATCTCCAAAAGTGACGTTTTTCCTAATCAAATTAAATCACAAACAATTAACAACACACATTGTAATTGTCCAATTAATGGACAATTAAACTTACCCTTGGATCTCGATCAGTATAATGAACCATCCAGCCTTCTCGAAGTACTCGAATACTTTTACGACGTGAATTCCTCATTCGTTGAATTAAACTCATCAATGGAAGGTGACTCCTGTTGTAGTGTCAATTAGTTGATCAAATGATTAATCAAATTATCAATGTTAAGTAAATTTCACAGTTAAACGTTAATTGTTGTTTAATTAGCACTTACGTTATACTACGTTTACGATTTGAATTTTTCTGATAATGTCGATAATCAAATGTATTCTCATCCTCACACTTGTCATCATTTTCATCTTCAATTGTTTTCTTATCCTCTTGTTGATTTGATGATAATGATGATGTAGATGGTGTTGACGATAATAAAGATGATGATGATGATGACTGGTCACTACTTTGATCCCTATGGTCAAGATTATGGGTCACCGTTGGTTTGAATGTATCAACATAATCTAAATTACCGTTATCACCTTTGTCCACAATAAGTAATTGGTTAATTGTTAGATTATCAATTGAAGTTGATTCATCTTCGTCTTCCTCTTCATCAGCTAAATCATCATCATCACAATTATCATTATCTGGTAGATTAGCACAGATATTATCCGTTGATCCAGTTCTTAACCATTTAAATCACAATTAAAAGTTATTTTTTTTAAAAATCAAACAAATTTCAAACAATTAAAAATATAAATATAAAAAAAAATAAATGAATGAAAAAATAAAAACAAAGCAAATCAAATGTTAATTTAGTATAAAATCAAATGTGTTAATCAAGTTACTGAAAGTTAATAAAAAAAACATATATGATTAACAATCAACTGTCAAAGTTTGTGAACAATTTAATTTAATTCAATTGTTGATTAACAGTTAAGCCTTTTCTTGAAACAAGTTCAAGTTTGAGGATAAAAAGTTTTTCAACATTTTGTATGTGAACACAATTAGGTAAAAATAAAATTGATTCTTCCTCTACATAACGTTAATTGTAGTTAAGTTAATTGTAATTAAGACTTCCTTAAGACTCAAGAACAGTTAATTCAGTTAAACGGAAAACGAATGAGATAATTGTGATAATAATAATTTAAATCAGTTTCAAATTTCCTGCTGGTCCATAAGCATTTACCTTGTTTCTTATATTTAACAATTAACTATTTGTTGATTGGTGATTGTTACGTTGATTACAATTAACAAAATTTTCTAAATCACAATCTATTTTAATCACTGTTTACCATCGGAAAGATATTTATTGACAATTGGAAATTTATCAATTTTTTTACTGTAATTTAATCATCGTAATGACAATATTTTCAAGTTCAAGATTGTCGTTGATATTGATTAGCAATTGAATCAACTAATTACGATGATTTAATAATAATATACATTAACTGTAGTAGGAAACAAGGTTTTTTATATACAATTAGAATTGAAACTTTTTCCTTTAATCGTTAATTGTTTATCATTATTACCAAACAATCTGATTGTTGTTTGAGAAAACAATTAATTGATCAGTTTTTTAATGCTCAGGATTTTGATGTTGATTGTTGTTGATTAGCAAAATGATTAACTTACTGTTTAAAGTTGAGAAAATTGCAAAAAATTGATTTGATGTTACTGTTTTTCTGATGATATTTAATCAACTCAATTAACGTATTGACTAAAAAGCCTTGAGGGTTAATCACAATCAAATCGTTTATGGTTTATTAATAATTAACTGTTACCTGGTAATGATAAGTTATATATGTTAACATGAGTAAATGTTGTTAACTGATTAGAGTGAAAGTTAAATTGTTATCAATCAAATCATCAGAATCATTAATCTAATATTCAAGTAATCTTGAAATTAAATCAGTTCATTTACTAATCAACAACTAGATTAGAGCCACACAAGAATTAAATTTGATTGAGTGATTAACAAGAGTATATATCAAGATCAATGATGACAATTAAATCGTTAACTATTAATTTTCCCAAGAAACTTTTATAATAATAATAATCACGAACTAAATTAAGTAATTAACAGAAAATCAGTTTCTCTCTGTAAGATTAACAATCAAAATTAAATGATTAGAAAATGGTTTCTCAGGATGATTATGATTATCGTATTGATCATAATCAACAATTACCATGCAAAGATAATTGTAAAGTAATAGTTTTAATTATTAACTCATGCAATTTGTTAATTAATTTAACAATCAAGTTAAATCAGATGATCAGAGGGACTAATTTACTTTTGATATTAATCATTTGTAATCTTGTTAACAATGAAATGGTTATTTAATTTTCACAAACGAAACAAGATGATCAAGGTAACACAATCAGTAAATTAACAACAATCAAACAATGGTTTCAATCAAGTTAACAATTAATTACATGGGCTGTTTAAATTGTTGTGTAAAAATTTAGGGTTCAAGTTAATCAAGGTTATTAATTCACTTCTTTGTAATACTAATCAAGGATTAACCAAATATGAAGAGGGATTTATCAATGAATGATTACAATTAAATCAGTAAATTATTGAATAGTAGCTGTTAATTGTAGGCGATTGTATCATTATAAATCAATTGGATAACATTGAGTTGATTAAATTATTATTATTTCAATTAAGTCTCTTCAGGTTATTAACTTTAATAATAATAACAATCAAATCTCATCATCTTTTTTTTTTAGATAATCAAGAAAATGAAAAAGTATCAACCTTGATAATAGGAAAAGGACAACGTTTCTAACAATAAGTTAATTGTTGATAATTAACTGTTAACCATATGAAGGACACAATCTAATGGTCATCATTGAAGTTACAATGAAACTAGGAAGTGTTTGATTACAACAATGAGATAACAATTAATCAACAATTAGATAAATTTTGATCATCAACTTTTTTAGAGGTCAATTTAGCCCATCATCATCATCATCATTTACTAATTGTGATTATTAAATTGTTATCATTATCAATATGTAATCATCATAATAATTATAATAATAATAATTAATACAATTTTGTCAATATATTTTTATATTGCAATCAATTGATTGACTCTGCCCTTTGCAATATAATCAAACAAACTAGTTAATTGTGAGTGGGTAAAAGTGATTAGCTAAATGATTTAGGATAATAATATTATTACCTCAAGACATTAATTGTTGTTAATTGTTGCCTTTCTTTAATATATTTATATATAAAAATAAATTAACTATGAAAGGGGGATAATAATTATTAACCTCGAACAATTTAAATTGATTGGAAATATGTAGTTTACTATTGGATTTGATTAATCATTGATTGAGAATCAGCATGATGGTTTTTAACTCAATTAAATGGTAACAATAATCAACAAATGATTATCATGGTTAAATCTGGATTATTAACACTTTCCAATCCATGGACATTGTTTGATTGATAAAATTAAATGAAAGACAAATATACTGTTAATAACAATTTAAGTAATCATGATGATGATGATTAAATAAAACCCTTATCGGGACACACCTTAATCTTATAACTACCAATGCCCTTACCCTGATAATCGTTATTACGTCTGATTAACTTGGAAATCCCTGAAATCTCATTGTGAAGATTAAGATACTGGATAAGTAACCTTGATAATCCCTTAGTTGGTTTTTCGTGTATTATTAACTCAATTCAGTTTCTATTATAATTGTAATTGTAAATTGTAAATTGTTTATTTGATCATCATTTTCGATGAGGTAAAAGAATAGGAAAATTATCAACAATTTAATTTCTATTGTAATCATTATGTTGATGTTGTTATTATTATTATACAAGATTATTCAATTGATTGTTCAATTGATTGATTATGTTTTATTGATTGGGATGTTGATGGTTAATCATTAAGTTATGATTCTTGTTTTCATCATGGAAAATGTTATCAATCAATTATGGTAATTTGTTTGTGCTTAATTAACTGGTTAATCACTATCGATTATTATTACGCAATAATCTATGTAATTTTTTTGTCGCTAGTCAAGTTTGATTGTTAATTCAAGTTAATTTACTGATTGATTTTATTATATCATCTGATTGTTAGCCATTTGTGGGGCCTAGGGCTTAGGGGCGATTTTCAGGACAAATTAAAGGATGTTATTGATTAACGATTAAAACTTTTCGATTAATTATTGATCAAGAAATCATCTAATCATCTCATTGTCGGTGATTGTTTTTTGGATGATTAATTAACTAACTAATTTGATTGTCAATAGTTTTCACTAATTTCGTGACGAAAATTTGAAATTACGGAATTTCCAACGAAATCGTTGCGAAAGTTTCTTAACTTGATTATAGTTTCTTTCCGAGAACCAACAATCAAAAATGTTAATTAATCAATTTTACTCAATTGATGACAATCAAACTACGATCTCACTCGTTAATCACAACAACGAAATTAGAAACTTGATAATATGATGCACCTAACGAAAAGTGAATAAATTGACACAAAAGAAAATCTTAATAGTCTCAAAGTGAAAGATTAATTGACAAGTTTAATTGTGAACTAAATTAAATCACTTACCCGTTGGCTCGGTGAAATTTTTCATCCAATTTGGTTAAAACACAATCAGAACACATTTTGATATAAAATAATTTCTATCAACACCAAAGTAAAAACAACGAGAAACCACAATGGTGACAACAGAACTAAAAGATTAACTGACCAAGGGAAAAGTGACCACAATCAAGAAAACCGAGTAAAAACTAAACTGTGGTAATAATAATTAACCAGCGACTTGATAAGTAACTTGTTAAATTGAAACTTCGAATGTGAAAAAACGAGAAACCAGAAATGAGAATTACGAAAATAGAGAAAACGAGCAGCGCCATCTGGTAATTCGTTTGAAGGATATCCGGCATTTCTTTTCTTCATTAAATTAATGATATAATTAATTTCTGCTCACAATAAGAGACTTTTTTTCTAAGGTCAATGTTATCATTAGAGTTTAATTATTATTAGAAATTATTTCGATCACAATTATCGGGTAACGATCGACAATCTAATCAATGTCATTGTCGCATTGACAATTTCTTTCTCTTTCTGTGTCTCCCTTCAATCATCTGTTTTATTGTTTTTTTTTTCATATTCTTCACTTTGATTCAGTTTCATTTTCTATTCCCTGTTAATTGTTATTCAATGGTTTCATTGTTCTAATTGTGATTCTGTTTATTGTCCAACTTATCAAAGGTGATCTTCATTGATAATTTTCTGTCCATTTTAATGTCTCAAGTCTCTAAAATCAAAATGGCTGAGATATTGTTTTGTTTTGTTCTGTTCTCTTTTCTATTCTATTCTTTTCTATTTTTTTTGTTCTTTTTGTGGAATTTGAATCTTTCATTTTAATACAATTTTTTTAATGTTTTTTTTTGTTTATTCTCTTTGCTTTAGGTGATTTGCCAGAAAAGAAAATTGTTAAAACCAGGAAACGTTATATAAGTGATCAACTTTAATTGTGCTTTTTGCTGTTTTTCTATTTGTTATATCATTTCAATGTTATTCCATTTTTGTTTTGGCTTCTCCCTCTCACTATAATCTCTTACTTAATCTAACATACACACTTTCACTTGGACCCGCTAATTATTTTCAATGATTAACCGTGGTTACAATTTTCTATTTTCAATTTGCTCATTAATTACTGAGTTGCCCTGATGAATATGTTACATGTTTTATGTGTATTTGTCTGTTCCTTGGTGAATGAAAATGATGAAAGGAGCAACCATGTTTCAAGAATTTACTGGAAATAATTGTAACTAATTACGTTGGATTAGTTTAGGTTTGGTTTTAGGGGAAAAACTAAATTCAGGACCGAAAGGTAAATGATTACCAAGACGTAATTGTTGTCATTTTATTTGACCATCAAATTTAAGGTCATTCGTCCTTGTCAGTTCTCAATTCTTATTATAGTTTTCTCACTTTTCTTTCTCTCTCTCTCTCTCTCCTTCGATGACCTTTAATTCAATTTTACTTTCTAACATTAAACGCGGAAATTGAAAGTCAGCCTTGATCAACTTTAGGTCAATTAAGAATAATTTCCGATTGTTGGTATTAATAATTATCTTCATGATCAAGTAAAAAAAGACAAAATTTTTCCTTTCAATATAAATGATAATTCTGGGGGCCAGAATTGTTTCTTCAATGTAAGTAATCAACTGAATTAATTGAAAATCGCCACAATTTTTAATTATGGTTTTCTTTTTCTCTTCCAGGGATTCATCATACATTTTGTGCCAAAATTGAAGTCTCATGTCAACAGACAAAACCAACGACTCTTCTTGTAGTATGGCTCACTAACTCTAACTTGTTGTCCTGTTCTCATTGGATTCGCAGCATCCTATTCAAGAAAAAAGAAGAAAATCTCATTAGAAACAATGGAATCGAAAAAAAAGACAAAACATAACAAAAGTTGAGCGAAAATCATGCAATCTGTTAATTGGATCAATATCTAAATTAGATGAGGTGATAGTCTTTATTACCATCTTCAAGAAGTACTACTGAATCACAATTTAACGATATATAAGACTAGTCCTAACACCCTACAAGTGCATCACACTCCCCACAAATCCATCATATTCACCAACTTCTTCTCATCCCCCTTTAGTCCCAGTACCATACAAGTCCACCACACTCCCCAACCAGCTACAGCCCTGAAAACCCCTCTACTCAATATATTAGTGATTAAAGAAAATCCAATTAGGGTTGAATCTAATTTAGAGATTCAGATCCATGGAAAAAAAGAAAGTGGAAAAGGAAATAAGTAAAACTTTAAGAAAAGTTGATAACTAAGCGAATCCTTATCTCTAATATTAACTAGTTGACAGATCAACTTGTTAATTAAATTCAAATTGATTGCAATCAATCGCCTTGTTTGACTAATGATGTTAAAGATGAAAAGATATGCTAATATGTAGCTGATTTCCGCCCATTTTGTTAACTGAATAGATGATGAGAGAGATTGAATCTGTCAGATTAATGATGATTCCTACCTTCTGGTGTTGGGCGAATGATAAATAGAAATGATTGAAGGTCCAGTTGATTGTCCAATGTTGATTGACAATCAGTGAAGATCACATGTAAATAGAAAAGGTAAAAATAATTAGTAAGATATAATTGGAGAAATTGATTCAAATTGCAAACTAACCAATTTTTTCTCCATTTTTCTCTTAATGTCTCTTGTGAGAGTTACGAAGGCCTCTTCAACATTGATACTCGTTTTTGCACTGGTTTCCATGAATTTGATACCATATTCAATTGCTAACTGGAGAAAAGGTATAATAAGATGCCGAAGGGAAAATAGAATTAAATAAATCGCATGTTAATTAATTAGAAGAAATCAAGTTATCAAAATTATGGATAAAAGGAACAAGTGGAAAACAGAAACTCCTCTTGACAGAAAAACAAATGATGATTCAGTTGTTGGTGTTTAAAGAGAGTAAATTAATCTAAAGGATAATCGTTAATGTTTCAGGAATCACCATGTTATATGATCTGTACAAGATAATTAACACTTATTACAGGGAGGGAGAGAGAAAACAAATACTGAATCAATGTTCCTGATTTAGACTGAAAGTTTCAAGGTAAAAGGTGATTGGGTGTCATTGGTAACGATAGAATCGAAGTTTTTTTGGTTAAAAAAATCGGTTCTAAGATATAATTGATGATCATGGAAAAGTTTGATAACTGGTTTAGATTAATTGGGATGAGAAGTGTCAAGAAGAGGTCATGATGTGGTTTAGGTAAAGTACCTGTTCTCCTCTATCCTTTGTTACTTGTCTCTTATCTTCGATGTCACATTTATTACCAAGAATCATCTTCTCTACATCAGAGGCAGCGTGTTCTTCAATATTTCTAACCCAATTTTTAATATTTTCAAACGATTTCTCATTTGTAACATCATAGACAAGCATGATTCCCATAGCACCTCGATAATAGGCTGTAGTGATTGTCCGAAATCGTTCTTGTCCAGCAGTATCCCATATTTGAAGTTTGATCTTTTTACCTTCCAATTCAATTGTTCGTATCTTGAAATCAATACCTGATAGAGAAAGAGAAAAAAACAACAATCAGAAAAATGAGAATAAAGAAAATTACATTAAAAAAAGGTAAGAAAATAAAGAAACAAAAAACAAGGACAAATATTAGTTACAAAGCTAAAGAATGAGAGAGAGAGAGAAAGAAAGAGTGAGTGAGTGAGGGTAAAGGAGGGGTAGTGATTATTGTTATTGTACCTCATCATGTACACCATTAAAACCACAGTAATTTTAGCAATTAACATAATGATTACAAGTGAATAAAATGTAGGGATGACAATGATCAACAAATTGTGAATCCATTTGAAAACAAAGTGACCCAACAATCAGACTCAAGTTGATAATTTACATATGTACAAACCAGAAAACTAAAAACTCGGAAAATAAGAGGTTGGGTATCAGGTGTACAATTACAATCAACAAAGACACACAACCACACTCACACTCACAAACTCTGTTGGTGTTGTAAAGAGAGAAAGAGAGAATTTGGAATTTTGAATAAAATGTCAACAACAGCGAATAGAATAGAATGTGTGAGATGAGGTTAAAGAGAAAAAAATTTTAGAGAAAAAAAAATAAAAGTTCAACAAGTAGAGAACAAAAATTGTGGTGTGTATGTGAAGAGATAGGAGATGGTAAATGGTTGAATCAATACTACATGATAAGGCTAAAAAACAACCAGATGATGATGACGAGAAGGAAAAATGAGAAATTAAAACTTACCTATGGTGGAAATGAAAGATTGGTGGAATGCATCTTCCGAGAAACGGAATAATATACAAGTTTTACCAACACCGGAATCACCGATTAACAACAATTTAAACAAATAATCATAGGTTTTACTGGACATGATTAACAGTTTGATATATTTATATATTTATATAAAAAAAAGAGCTAAAAAGAAATCAAGTGTTTGGTGTTAGAGGAATGATGATGATGAGAAGATGATGATGATGATGAAGTTGATGATAGTAATGATGGTGTTGAACCTGTAAGATACTGAGAGCTGAAACCAAGCCCTAGAAAGAGGGAGAAAGAGAAGAGAAAATATTAACGACAGGGTAAAGAGAAAGAAAATTAAATGAAGACAGAGGAGAAAAAGCTTATGGGAGGAAAGAAGGGAAAGAGAGTAAAGAGAACAGAGAAAGAGAATAGGATAGAAAGAAAGAGAAAAAGAAAAACATAAACAAATGGAAGAGAAGAACAAATTCAAATTCTATTCTTTTTGAGATTTTCTTTCTTTTTCCATTAAATTGTTGATTCTTTTTCGCAATTGTTGTGGTTTAATTTTCTTTTTTCTTTATTAATTCTACTGTTTTTCATTAATAGAATTTTCTGGTTAATTGCTAATTATCTCTCCTTCCAATTTATCCAAAATTTTTTATTCTTCTTATTGTTGTGGTTAAGTTTTTCTACTCATCCATTGATTAGAATCAATTAATTCTCAGTTATTGGTTTTCTTTTCTTTCATCTCCTGGTAATTTGTTTCTCTGTGAATTTAATTATCATCAATTTTATCAATTATCATCATCTGATTAACGACAATTAGTGTATACAGTTAATTTCGTGGAAATAGACAAAGTTGATTAACATTTAATTTCAATTTCTCTTGTGATTTTGTTTCTCTGTGTTTTTTTTGTAAACAATCAAATCTTTACTCTTTGATTGAGAAGTTTTTTGATCGTTTTGGAGTTTAATTGTCATTTAAATTATTAACTAAATCTTTAATTAATGTTAATTATCCAAAGAAATTAATGTTGATTAAATCACTTTGACAATTTTCACTGTTTCTATGTCAATATTTTTCCAAAGGTCTGTCGGCTTTGATGATTAGTGTTTCTTATTTGAGAATTGAAATGTTATTTGATTGTTTGTTTGTCGAAAAGATTATCACTTAACTAATTGTTCCTAATTTAATCTAATTTTTTTAACATTTTTCCATTAATTGTGATAACATTTAATTTCCTCTCTTTGTCTTCCTTTTCTCTGTGCTCCCTCTGGTTTTTGTCTTCTCAACATAAACATCATCTCTTGTTTACTTCATTTCTGTCTTTAAGGATTCTCATAGTGAAACATTTTTGTTTATGTCATGTTGAGTTAATTGTATTCTCATTTACTGAGCTTTTCGTTTTCTTCATTAAAAACACCAACATGAATAATGATCAAGAATCTAAGGTGAGTCTTTGTAATTTCTATTTTCCATTTATTTCAATATTTCATCGCATCCAGTGAAAAATGAAAGAGAATCTATGTCTTTCTCTCTCTCTCTCTTTTCATCTCTTTGTTGTGACACTTTTTCTCTCGGAGACTTTCATCTCAATCGTATTCATGAATAATCTTAATTCTGTGTGGTGATTTGTTATGATCATGATTGTGATTCACTTTCGAATCTCTTTATTCTATTTTCTATCCTCTTGTCAGAGAAAAGACATCGAAAAATGTCTATATTTTGTTCCTTATATTTTATTAATGATTCTCTTGTTTTCTATTATTTTCTTACCTTTTCTAGTTACCAGGAAATCCAAATAGCTTCCATGGCGGTGGTGATCCAACGGCTTCCAATGAATATTATGAGGATGTAGAAGATGTTGGTTCAGGTGTTGAAGATGATGCACCTGAGAGCTTTCAAGCTCTGAATAGATCTGAGCCTCCATGGGTTACATTTCCAGATTTACTGAGAGTTCCAACCAGTTCAGCCAATAATAATTCAGCAACTGAAGACGATTCTCCGGAAAGTTTATCATTTGCAGCCGCTCAATCATTCAGATCAAATGATTTAACCAACCAATCAAATTCATCTGGTTATGTGAGTCTATCAAATTTGATACTCTAAATGTTATATTATTGTTCAAAGATGAGAAGAAGAAGAAAAAATCTAATCTATACGTTTATCTTTTACTTTAATATAGAGATCAGTTACTGCCAATCCATTGAATTTGACATCATCTAATAATAATCATGTTCCATTTGTTGGAGGAATATTGAAAAATCGTCTCTCCCATCCTGATGTATCCCATGTTGGTCAATCAAATTTAGTTAGTGCCTCATCCAGAAATTATCAAAATTCTAATTGTTCCTCATCACCAAGACATGGACCATCATTCACTGATCCCTCTGGAGTTTCATCTTCAAGCAGTTCAAGGCCACTTCCATCATTACCTGCTAATTCACAGTCTTACAATTCCTCAGGTCGAGCTCATCATCATCCAGGTTCTGGTGACAATGATTATGCTAATCGTATTGCTCATCATCCACATCGCAGTTCAATCAATAGTTTGAACCTTTCTTCCGCTCTTTACTCATCCAATTCATCGCCATCATCCATGGCTCCATCATTAGCCCAATCATTAGTTCCCATTACTACTGCATTAACTCGAGTTCAGTCTTCGGTTGATTCTCTTAGCCGACAAGTGAATGAAAGATTGGATGCACTTGAGAATCGGCTTAATAATTTAACTGCGTCTTCTTCTCATGATACTGTTAATTCATCAGACTATGTCATCAACCACCACCATTTAAGAGACATGTCACCTGAATCTCTGAAAAGTTTCATCAATGAACAGAAAAGGGTTGGTTAATTACTCCACCATAATCGAAATCAAATGATTCTAATCTACTTTTTATCGATAACTAGTTAAATTAAATTTTCTCTTTTTTCAGGAGATGCACAATGAGCGTCGAGCATTTTTACTCTCATTTGCCGAAGCTTTGAGAAATGCCGCTGAAACATCTAATCGATCTTCTTCATCATCGTCATCAGAACCAACATCATCAACTAAACTGAATGGACTTTAAATCAACAATCATTTTTAATCATATTTAAATTTCACTTATGTTTGATTGCATTTGAATGAAAGAACAAGTTATCTCTATGGTTGAATTTTGATAATTTCCAAATCAATTGTTTCCACAATTGACAACGAGCGAAATCAAAATACATCTCACTTTAAGAGAAACTTTAAAAATTGATTGTCACTGAACTATTTGAATTAGAACCAAAATGCGACCAATGGAATGAACAAATTGATTGAAAACCAAAACTGTACACGAACAACAAAAGACGAGAATTAAAAACATTGATTTATTAATTTTAAGCTTCAACATCAAGAGAGGGATCGATGAATTGAAATTCATCATACTTCATACAGAAATTGGCATGATTATCTTTAAGGTGAAAATGAGGTTAGAATGTGAAGCAAAGTTGAGATTTCCATGCGAAAATAATGGATGATATTCCTGCCGGACAAACAATTAGTTCGTCAAAAATTGACAAATTTTACGAAGTTGTGCCAATTAAACCACAATGGTTCACCAAACACTCATGATACTTTATTCAGATTAGTAACAATCGCAATTACTATTTGCATTTACGCATAAATGTTATTAAGGCCACAATATTGAAAGATTTTTAGATTATTAACAGTTGAGATTATGAGACAAAAAAAATGAAAATAAGTACATGTAATCGTAAATTTGAACTGTTCGGAGGTCATTTCTTTCTAACTTTGTGCGGCAATTATTCCCTGGTGGTTTTCTCATGTAAAAAGATGTAATAGAATAACATTGTAGATATTAGAATGAACAGAATGATGATGGTTCCGTTATGATTTCCATGTTCGTTCAGCACAATCGATTCATTCCAGTCTTTTCGTTACACAGTTTCTTTTTAATTGGTTCGTTTCCAACGTGAAAGAGTAAAAATTGATCGAGAAGCTTTCGCAAAGAGAGACGATTAACAATTAAGTCAATTGGTAATTTAGTTGGTTGTTAATCGTTTTCAATTTCCAATGTATATACAATAGTTCAACTAATCTGATGTATTCCACTAATTAGATTTAATTGGTAAATTAAGTGTTGTTGTTTGTCTTGATTTCATCATGATTTAATGCTATTCAATTTGATTCTTTTAGTGACATCTATTGAGATGAGAAAGAGACTTAAAGTGGAAATGTTTTTTTCATCCAGATATATTTCGATAATCTTATTTATTAATTGATAAATGTCTTGGGTACACCGGGTAGATTATAAAGAGAACAAGTAAAATATCAAGAGTTTCGTCACCATAACTAACGAAGATAATCAAAACTTTAGAGTTGATAATTGGCCAAAACTATTCGAGTAGTTTTTGTGAATTTAACGTTTCATTCATCAAATTCACTAATTGAGTTTATTTAATTACCAAGTGTATTAACAATAAGTGCACTTATTACGATATTGTCATGGTGGAAGGATAGAAAAACGATAAAAATCAGGCAAGGGAAAGTTTCAAATAAATGAAAAGTACAAAAGAAACAAAAAGTGTCTACAACACCGGGGGTTCCCAAGTGGTCTCCCTCCCAAGTACTAACCCGGCCCGAAGCTGCTTAACTTCGGAGATCGGACGGGATCCGGTGCTTTCAGCTTGGTATGGTCGTAGACAAAAGAGAAGCTAATAAATGTCTTTATAAAACTGTTGACAGTAAACAAATGTGAATTAATTAATTAATATATTGATAGATTGAAAGATAGTTAAAGTAATTGTTTTATATTTTTCCTTTTTCCATTTACAATATTATGACCTTGATTTTGATTTGACAACAATTAAAAACATTGTAATAATTATTAAATCGATACAATTAGTTTAATGTTTCAAGTTTATTTCCGTAAACAAAAGTAACTGTTTAATAGTATTACAAGAAACAAATTATCTTGTCTTAATCCTTAATTGTTAATGGTGATTAGCCAATAAGAATAGTAGAGCAATCAAATAGCCTGAGATCATAATTAGCAAAGGAGCAATAAGATAATTAATTGTAATTGGAATCACTGAAACTTTTACTTCCATTTTGTAATCAAGACAAGAAATCGGTGAACTGTCGACACCTAAACATCTCGCATAGAGTTTCGTCGAAAGGTCATCTTTACTCAGTCCGTTTTCGAATGATGAGTAACTTCGCCTGATTATTATTCGATTAATTCTTGGATCGCCATATTTGTTGATTAGAACACCTTTAAGAGAGGTGAATATTGGCGAGTTGGATTTCTCGAAAGGTTCATTCATTTCGTATTCTCGATCAGTAAAACAACCAAAGCTCTTGATCATCTGAACCCAATCCTGAGTTAAAACGATCACATGATCTTTAAGTTTGATGAATTCATACAAATCTCTCATAAGAAGATCGGGAATTTTTCTTATTGTTATTCGTGACGAGAATCGACCATTGAAAGAGTCCAAAGCTCTTTGAAACTCGTGACGACATTCAATCTTCGAGAAAGAGATCGGTTGATAACTATGCTCGATTATATCTTCGAGTGTATTTAGTTTTATACAATCATGATACGAAACTAGACCAGTTTCTAGTGAACTTGAAAACAATTTACTAATTAGTAGAAGAGATAAAATGAAAACAAGTAGATTTTGTTTGGTAATTAAAGCGAAAAGTTTATCTCGATGTTGACACAATATGTACATTAATTGGGTCCAGAGAATGTTGATCATTGAAATTGACCTTTGATGAAGTTTAATTAAGAGACTCAAGACAATTAATAGTGAACCAAATGAAGAAATAAACATGGACCAGAAATATAAATCAAAGGAATAGACGAAATCAATGAAATTTGAATAATCGAGATTCAACTTTAATTGTCGCTTATGAGCCAAGTAACAAGCGTTTTCTGAAAATAGAGAAGCGCTGGTCAAGTTGTTGGTTCCCAAATCTTTTAGAATATTGTAATAAGTCTGTAAGATATAATCGACTTTTCCAGTCTGTAGATCTCTCAAAGGTCCAATACAAGTTCCGTTCTTAAAGCATTTCTCATTCTTACAATTTTCAATGTTAATTAGAGTTAAATTGACTTCGGTCATTAAAGACGAGATGGTGAGTCGTATGATCGGTGCGAATATGCCATCAACTGTAGTTGAACTTGTGACATAATGAGCTGGGGGAAGATTACAAATTCCAATTCTCATAATACTCATGGTTACGATAATAAGTCGATATGTTCACAAGAAAATTTACTCAATTTCTTTTGAAAAGCTTGAAAAGAAAAGCATTTTAATATGAAGATTTTCCTATTTCTCCAGGAAAATTATAACTCTGATTAGATTGATTAATATTCTTGATTGACAAAAGAAAATCAATAATATGAAACAATCGATCCAATCAAAGGATTGAAAGTTTCAAATCAATGAAAGTAAAAGAGTCAAAAAGTGTCTACAACACCGGGGGTTCCCAAGTGGTCTCCCTCCCAAGTACTAACCCGGCCCGAAGCTGCTTAACTTCGGAGATCGGACGGGATCCGGTGCTTTCAGCTTGGTATGGTCGTAGACGAAAGAAGTGTGAATAAATGTCATTATAAAACTACATATAGTAACCAAGCGTGGCATCAATGAGCCGTCGAAAGCAACAAAAAGGTGAAAATAAGTTGGTGAGTACAAATCAAAGTGAAACATAAGTTAATTAGTTAATTTACTCTTGAGATTGTTTTTATTTTAGTCAAAAAAATTGAAGTTTCCTTTAATTAATATGTTCAAATTTATAGAAGCGGCGATTTTAATAATTTCGTTGAGTGTAATCGTAATTATAACAAGAAAGTAAATTTTTATCCTAAAATTTGTTATATTCTTTTATTTTTGTTTCTTCGAAATCGTTTTAAGTCTTATTTCAGATCATAAGCAAACAGGGTGAGAGAGAAAAAGATGAAATGATATTAAATTTACAATGTAGTTTGTGGTTGGAAATTTGTTCGATATTTTTGTTCGTCTAGAAAACTTTTAGACAGTTGGACAAAGATTAACGGCATTTCCAGAATTTTTACAATCGAAGACCAGATCAACATTGATTATTTGTTTACCCTCACTGACAGCGGGTCGATTGTATTTAACATTCTTAATACAACCAATATAAGGAGGAGGTAAATCGGGGAATTTAGTTCGATAACCATTTGGTACATCTCCCAAGTACATCGGCGTTACTGTATCAGCGACATTGATACCTCCAGGGCCGAAAATAAGACCTGAAGCACTTGCACCATTAACGGAAACAAAATGAGCATTTTGAAGTTTCAGCACTTGAATCGAATGCCAAGAACCATCGCAAACGGAGATATTGCTTAGCAAAGTCATTATTGAATCTTTTGGTCCAGCGCCATTATTGATCGAAGCAACGACTCTACCATCGACCAATTTAACGATCAAATAATCAGTGATTCGACCTTTATCATCTGGATTACCGAAAGAGGCTGCAAGTAAACCAGAATTGTTTCGAGGTTTAATCATGAAATCGAATTCGATGTTACTTCCGATTCTAAATCTATCGTAACAACTAAGGTAACTGTTTTGTCCATTGAAGAAAGTGCCCTCCTCAATGGAGTCCGAACATGGCGGTGCGTTGTAGAACTTATTTCCAGAGGTCAGTCCAGTAGTGTCTTCAAGAGAAACTGCCATTCCACCAATGATAACATTGCGAATACAACCTGGGAAAGAATGGGTTATATTGAAGAGTAAACTCTTGATTCGTTCAGCACCAGATTTCGGTAGACCACCGATGTAAGCGGGTGAAACGATGTTCAAACTTTGTGAGTTTCCAGGAGCGATTCCGGTCAATTTATCACCATTTGGATAACTGATTGTACCTTCTCGAGAGGAGAGACTGAAAGTGGCCGAGTGCCAAGCACCATCATCATATTGATTATTTAATTTACTCGCACCAATGGTCATCAAACCACCACCCAAATTCCAGGTTAGGTAAAGTTGACCATTCTTCATGTAAACGGCAAATAGATCAACATATTGAGCATCAGTAAGAATCAACATGATACCTTGAGCACTTTCATCCTTATATTGAGGATAAGTACGGAATTCGAGTGTCACAGAAGCTTTTGTCTGCATGCTGCCTATCGTTTCAGAGGCCAACTTAATCTCAGCTCGAGAATCTTCACTGCTGAAGAATCGACGTCCATGGGTAGCAATCGATATCTCTGGATAGTTTGGATCAAGGGGAAGAGCACAAGGTGATTGTCTTCTTGGCGCTGGAGTTGTTGGCTCTGGTGGTGGAGTTGATGTGACTTGAGTTCGATTGACTTTTCGAGATTTTCCATCACTGACTAT